AGGTTAAGAACACTGACTGCTCTTCTAGAGGTCTTGAGTTCGATTCCCAGCAACCACATGGTGGCTCACAACCATCTACAATTCAATCTGGTGTATATGTAATAAATAAATAAATCTTTTCAAAAAAGGCTAAGGCTGTTGAGTGGTGGTGTCACATGGCTTTAACCCCAGCACTCAGGAGGCAGAGGCAGGTGGATCTCTGAGTTTAGGGCCAGCCTGGTCTACAGAGAGAGTTCTAGGACAGGACAGCCTTGTCTACACAGAGAAACCTTGTGTCAAAAAAAAAAAAAAGCCAGGAGGGTCACTTCAAGTTCAAGAGCAGCCTGGGCTACTCAGTGAGTTCCGGAGCAACCGAGACTACAAAGAGAATTCTAGCACAGCCTGATGTTACAGAGTGGGCACTAACTTCAAAGGATTAATCCACTGAGAGCATGGTAGCTGAATGGACTATTAGTCGGCCAGCCTGGCTAGAAGGAGTAGGTCCCTGGGGACAGGCCCTCAGAGTGTCCTATTCCAAGTGCTTTCCCATCTTGCATTGCTTCAGGGACACCAGGAGTAGCCTCCCCTGGTTCATGCACCCCCCTCCCCCACCAAGATGCCCTGTCTTACCTCAGGCTCAAAGCAGTAGAAAAATAAAACCAGCTGAGCTTGGACCGAACTTTAGAGACAGAGTCAAAATAAATCTCATTTCCTTTCTTTTTCCAATGTCAAAGGTCAAGCCCAGGGTCTGGAACATGCTAGGCTAAGTTATATCTTCACCATTTGATTTTCAGACTCTGACAACATCTTGGGCTGACCTTTGAACTTGAGATCTTGTCTCAACCTCCAGACCTGGCTTTGGAATATATATATCCATATATGTATGGTTTTAAAACTAATTCCCACAGCCAGACGAGCTGCTGTATGCCTGTAAGTGCTATACTCAGAGTGGTTGTGGGAGAGTCATCCTCCGCTAAGTAGGAAGTTTGAGGCCAGCCTGGGCAACTTGAGATGCTGACAAGAAAGAATGGTGTGTGGATGAATGGGAAGGGAGAGAGGGAGGGAGGGAGGGAAGAGGGAGGCCAGGAAGGCTCAAATAGCCAGGAGGACACTTCCTGTCCGCACAGGCTGCAGCTAGATAAATATGGCCACTAGAGGGCACTGGTAGCAAGCAACTTCTAACCAACCGAACTGAATCTCAAGACAATTAAAGTCATGGGTAGCTTCGTGGCACACTAAATTTTGTGGAAGAAATTAATGAGGTTAATTCTAACAACAGGTGTTCCATGGCAGCGGTGACAGGAGAATTTGGGACTCAGGAAAGCACGGTGGCAGGTCCTATTAGGCAAGAAACCGGGTGTGTGGACGACTACAGTAAAGGAAACGGTGACCAGAACAGAGAGAGGGGGGAAAATTACCTTCTTTATTTTTTCTGAGACGGGGTTTCTCTGTGTAGCCCTGACTGTCAGGCCTGGAACTTGCTCTGGCCTAGAACTCAGAGATCTGCCTACCTCCGCCACCTGAGTGCTGGGATTAAAGGCGTGTGCCACCACAGCCCGGCAGCAAAAAAAATAAAAGAAAAGAAGACCTTAAAATATTTTAAAATATTTATTATTCATCTGGAGCTTGGAGAGTTGATTCAGACATTAAGAGCACCGGCTGCTCTTCCAGAGGACCCAGGTTCCATTTGCAGCAATCACGTGAATGAAGCTCATATCATTTGTAACTCCAGTTCCAGGGGATCTGACACCCACTCCTGAGGCCATTGGACACCAGGCACACACATGGTGTGCACAGACATACATACATGCAGGCAAAATATTCATGCATCTAGATAAGAATTTTAGAAGGCATCAGATTGTCAGATGGAGGACAGAGCAAAGAAAGAAGGAGGGAGGGAGGGAGGAGGGAGGGAGGGAGGGAGGGAGGGAGGGAGGGAGGGAGGGAGGGAGGGAGGGAGGGAGGGAGGGAGGGAGGGAGAAAGGAGGAGGGAGGGCTGACTCATGGGGAAACTGCCAGAAGTTGACTTTTTGAGAAGTATCTATTTGGGAGAGGGAACTTTGGGAGGTCAGAAGGGCTCTCTCTCCTCCCACCATATGGGTCCTCAGGAGGGAATTCCCGTTGTCACATCTGTTGACAACAGGTGTCCCTGAGCCAACTCGCCATCTGCAGAAATGTACTTTTACCAAAGTGTGTGTGTGGGGGGGTAAGACAATTTTGGAGGAACCGGGAAGAGGGAATGGGGAGAGAAGATGACGGTGAGGAAAACATCATTTTCCTACCCTGAGAAGCAGACCGACTGTGGGGTGTGGGTCCACAGGCAGGCTTGTGCCCCGGGGAGAGAGGACGGTGAATGAGGCCAGCCTCAGGGACATCACACCACAGGGCATGTAATGCAGAACTCCCAGGGAGCGCTTTCCTGGTTGGGGCGATCGGCCCTTTCCACATGACCGGGGTGGGGCACGGGGGGGGGGTTCATCATGTTTACACACTTCATCTCTTCTGGAAACCTCTCAACCCTCCGGAGTCAACATGAGGTCACACGACTTCTCAAGCCACACAGCACACAGCCAAGACATAGTGCAGAGGGCACCTGACCTCAGGCAGAATTTTCTGGTTTGCTGTAGTGCTGGAGTTAAGAATCCAAAACCGGAGCCGGGCATTGGTGGCGCACGCCTTTAATCCCAGCACTCTGGAGGCAGAGGCAGGCGGATCTCTGTGAGTTTGAGGCCAGCCTGGTCTACAGAGTGAGTTGCAGGACAGCCTCCAAAACAATACAGAGAAACCCTGTCTCAGAAAAAAAAAAAAAAAAAAAAAAAGAATCCAAAACCCGACCGGTTCCAGACAAGCGGCCACCTCCAGAGCATCCTCAAACTACACCTCCTTTAAGGACTTACTCGTGTGCATGTGTTTTGCCTGCATGTGTGATACCTGGTGCTCAGAGAGGCCAGAAAATGGCATCAGATCTCCTGGATCTGTTGCTGGCTGTGAGCTGTCATGTGGGTGCTGGGAACTGAACCCGAGTCCTCTGGGAAGAGCAGCCAGGGCTCTTGGCTGCTGAGCCATCTCTCCAGGACCCCTCCTCCTTGTTTTGAGACACTGCCTAGGTGTAGCTAGCCTGGAACTCCCTACGTAGACCAGGATGGCCTCAAATTCCTGCATGCCGTGCACATTTGAGGGGGTCAGAGGGACAACTTGTGTCATTGGTCCTTTTCTTCCATCATGTGGGCCCCGGGGACTGAACTCAGGTCCTCAGGCTGAGCAGCAAGCCCCTCTACCGGCTGAGCCATCCAGGCGGTTTTGTTTCTGGTTTTTTTGTTTGTTTGTTTGTTTGTTTTTGAGACAGGGTTTCTCTGTATTGTTTTGGAGCCTGCCCTGGAACTCACTCTGTAGACCAGCCTGGCCTCGAACTCACAGAGATCCGACTGCCTCTGCCTCCCGAGTGCTGGGATTAAAGGCGTGCGCCACCAACACCTGGCTTAGGCGGTTCTTGATCATTTCTATTTTACTTATTTGACAAAGAGCCAGGCGACAGAACCCAGCCTGTAATCCGGTCCTTCTGCCTCGGGCCCAAGTACCAGGACCACAGAGCACTATCCTCTGCTTAAGCTTTTGCTTTTAAGACGGGGTTTCTCTATGTAGTTTTGGAGGCTGTCCTGGAACTCTCTCTGTAGACCAAGCTGGCCTTGAACTCACAGAGATCCACCTGCCTCTGCCTCCCAGTGCCACCATGCCCTGGCTGTGTGACTTCAGTGGTGGTACTGATGACCTGGGGCTCATCTGTGAGGTTTCTTGTTTTCTATAAGAAACTGAGACCTCCAACACTGTGAACACCCAGGACTTGAACCTGAGGTTTGTCACCTCCACCACCACGAGGAACCGAAAACAGGTTCTGTGAAAGGGAAGTAGAGGGTGCCCCAGCTCACACAATGTCCTGGGACAGCAACCCAGGTGACAGGAGCTGCTGAAGATCCCCATCCCCCACCCAATCCTCTGCACCAAGGCAGGAGGCTTAAGGCTGAGAGGCCTACTAGGGGACAGCTAGACCAGCTGCAGGGCTGGACGGCCAAGGTGTCCCAGATGTTAACCGATCTTTGCCTGCTGGTCTACGGCTCAGATCTCCAGGACGGAAACCCTGATCCTGGAGAGGCAGCTGGGTGGGCAGTTTCCCTAGAGCGACGGTGAGATGTTTTCCTAGACATCCCGACTTTGGGGCCAGGGTTTCAGCAGTGGCAGCCACTCTTATCATACACAGGCTGGTGTTAAATAGCCACCATCCACTTCTGAGACCCTCCAGGACATCCTGTAACTCAGTATGGAAGGCATCGATAATCCTTGTGCAGTAGACTTCTCTGCCTAACTCTAGGGGCACTGCCCATCCTGATCAACAGGAACCACTTTGCTTCCAAGTTCAGTCTGAAGATATGGTTGAAACAGCCTGTGGAAGTAAGTTCTTGTTGCCTTGAGGCTGCTTCTTCCAGAAAGCCCTCCCAGATTTCTTTCCTTTCCTCCCCCCCCTTTTTTTTGTTTGTTTTTTTGGGTTTTTTGTTTTTGAGACAGGGTTTCTCTGTATTGTTTTGGAGGCTGTCCTGGAACTCGATCTGTAGACCAGGCTGGCCTCGAACTCACAGAGATCCACCTGCCTCTATCTGCTGAGTGCTGGGATTAAAGGTGTGTGCCACCACCGCCCAGCTCCTTTCCTTTGCCTTGCTGGGAATGGAGCCTACTTTATGCTAAATAGGTGCTCTACGGCGAGCCGCACCCCTGGCCATCCCTGGTGCTTTGTAGGCAAGGCAAGCCCTTATCGTCCTGTTCTGCTTCTCCACCCCAAGGGCTGAGGGCTCTTTCCCTGGCGTGCACGCTCTTACCAATCACACCCTTCTCTCCCACTTTAATGTCGTTCATTGGTGCTCTGTGTACCACTCCTGCAGCCACACCAGGCACATTCTCCATGGAGTGGACTAATGGCCTCATTGCTGTGAGATGCCCTTTGGGGAGATGACGGGTCACCACTGGCCGCGTGCATCTCCACATATCCCATGATCCAGGGATCTGCCCTGGCTGGGACTGAGTTTATTTTAGGGGGGGAGGTGTGGGGACAGGATGTGAGTCTCTAAGACGCCTCGGGGTCAGCAGGGTATGTTCTCAGGCTCTGTGGCAAGGAATGTTTCTCCATCTGTCAGGACCAGCTGCGGCTTGGGGACCAAGGGCAGGGACTGCAGAAGGCCAGTAGCAGGGAGAGGAAAAGCCAGACACGGGAGGCAGTTACAGAACCATTAAATACAACTTAGAAACAGTCTGGGCTTGGGGAGTGGAATACAGAGGAGGGTGGCGGTCAGGGTGGGGCCGTGTGGGCCCGGTCCTGGCGGGGGCTCAGGCTGCAGTCATCTGCAAGGCTGGGCTGTGGGAAGCCCGGTTGCTTGTGGAGGCCCCGAAGCTTGGCCAGCAGCTCCTGGATGAAGTCCTGGGGACAGAGCGGGGTTCTGAGAACAGAGCGGGAGACAGGCCTCCCACCCCACGTCAGCGCCTCTTCAGACATCAACTTCTTCAAAGCAGGAGCTGGAGCCAAGTGGGGAGGAGAGAGACTAAGATAGACAGGAGAACAGGATGTGTGCATGTGTGTGCAATTACTAATTACTGCCCGGGCCAGTAATCACATCCGATGCAGGAGAATCGCTATGAATTTACATGCTGAGACCCTATCACAAGAAAAAGTGTGTGTGTGTGTGTGTGTGTGTGTGTGTGTGTGTGTGAGGGAGAGAAAGAGAGAGAGAGGGAGGGAGAGAGAGAGAGAGAGGGAGAGAAAGAGAGAGAGGGAGGGAGAGAGAGGGGGGGGAGAGAGGGAGAGAGGGAGAGAGAGAGAGAGAGAGAGGCTAGTGGTTAAATGCACTGGTTGCTCTTCCAGAGGACCCAGGTTCAGTTCCCAGCACCCACGTCTGTAACACCACTTCCGGGGGATTCAACACCTTCTTCTGGTCTCCACAGGCACCAAACATTCGTGTGGTTGTGGTAGTGCATGGACATACAGGAAGGCAAAACACATATCCACATAAAATGAAATAGAAATAGAGAGAGATGGAGAGACAATCTAAGACTCAGAGCTGAGAGAGAATTATAGACAGACACGGGCTCATACAAAAGATGCTTCTCATGCCGAGAAACAGTCCCCAGAGACCAGGTCTGAGCCAGCTCCAGGCAGACTGACAGGCAGTGACGTTTGTCCCTCAGGCAGCTAAGAGCAGAGGGGAGAACCATGAATATTTTCCCTTTTAAAGCAGGGAAGGAAGTGGGAATGGTTGTTTTGCCCAGCTCCAGGACCTGCAGGATGGGAGACCCCCAAGAGGTAGATGGGGAACCCCAGGATGGTAGAGTCACAGGGGACAGAGATGGAGAGAGGGTGAGCGCCCCAGACATCCAGGACAACCAGCGAGGGGCAGGTACCATCTGGGCAGAAACAGGAGCCTCTGGGGGAGGGGCTCTGAGGCAGCTGATGTGGAGCGGGCGGCAGATGGGAGGTAGGAGGAGCCCACGATAACAAAGAGACACGGGGCTCCCAGGGGTTCCCGAGGCCTGCCCCCGCCTCCTCCGTGAAGGTGAGAGGACCAATCCCGTAAAGACAGAAACTCACCTCCGTGGGGTTCGCGCAGGACTCCAAGAGTCCCTATGGTGGGGGGGACAAAAAAAATAAAACAGTAAATGACTGACACATCTCTTCCCTTGGGGCCCGCCCCTTCCCCAAGGGAGCAAGACGAAAGTCTGCCATAAGTGGCCCTGTGGCTTCGAGTGGGAGCACACAAGACAGAGGCCGGGCTGAAGGCTAGAAACCTCAGCAGTGAGGTCAGGGGGGGACGGACAAACCCAGACAGTCTGGGTTTGGCTCCCAGCTCTAGTCAAGATGAGCTGTGTGTCCCTGAGCAAAAGATTCAACGTCTCTGGGCCTCATTCTCCTTACGGTGGTAAATGTGTCTACTTTGTAGTGTTTTGCAGAGGATTTAGTATCTGGCAGAGGAAGTGTTTAATAAACATGTCAACTTGGGCTATTCCCTCTGTGGCGCTGCAACTTGGCGCACTGGGGTGGGGGAGGGGCGGCTTTCTCCTTTCTCCCCCACGTACCTGGATTTTCCGACTTCTTTCCTCTTCACTGTCCAATTCCAACAGCTCATCAATGTTGACCTCATCTGGCATATCTGACTCCTAAGGTCAGGAGAGCGGGCTGGTCAGGGCCCGTGTCTCCCGTCCGTCCCCCGCCCCCCCCCAGCCTTTTGTCCAGGGCTCCGGAGGTCCACACACTCCATCAACCCGAGGCCCAGCTGGCAGGGCCTGCAGCAATAATGTGGCAGGCAGGGACAGCACCACTGAGACAGACATCTGGGTGTTGGGGGGGCCGGGGGGTGACAGATGGGTGGAAGGAGGCCCAGGCCCTGGTACCAGCCCGATGCCTGCACCCTTGGCTCGGCCCCGGAGACCTTGGGGCTGGCACAGGGCTCTCTCCTTGGCTGCAGTTCCTACTCGGCAAAGCAGGCCTGGTCGAGTCTCGGAATGTCAGATTGTGGGATTCAGGTTGGCTTCTGCCCTTTCAAGGGAAAGTCTTACTTAGCTGTGGCTGTGGGGGAGGGGAGCCTGCCGGGGCGGGCCCCTTCCCCTGAGACCAGAAGGGCTTCTGGGCTTCAGGCCAGCCAAGCCTCCCTGGGCTACACTGCAGGCTGCTGGGTCAGTGAAGTGACCGCCTAGGCTCCGCACGGTGGGCTGCGAGCAGCAGTGGTCTCTGAGGGATGACCAGAGCTCACAGCACAGAGGTGCTCACGGCACAGAGTACAAGGACATCTGGTCACGATGGAGACAGGACCCAGCTGTCAGGGGCCAGAAGCCCCTTGGGCCCAAGCTCTAGTTTCCCAGCCTAAAGTCCTGTTGCCTAGCTGGGGAGTGAGGGCGCTGTCCTGTGGGGGGGGGATGAGGCCTCTGGCATCTATGTGTGCTGGGCCTCAGGAAGGCGGCTTTGTTCAGAGGCCTACGTGACCTGAGTGAATGTGTCTAGTGTGGTTGCTGCTTAGGTGTGACTATTGCAATCCCGACACGATAAGCTGTAGGGACCACCTTTATCAATTTATTTGCTTATTTTTAAATAAGGTCTAGGTATCTTGGGCTGGCCTTGAACTCACGGAGGTCCACCTGCTTCTGCCTCTACCTCTGCCTCCGAGTGTTGAGTCTAAAGGGTGTGCTCCACCGCACTAGGTTTGTTTTGGACAGGGTCTCTCCTTACCCAAGGTTGGCTTTGAACTCCCAACCCTCCTGCCGCACCTCCCAAGGGCTGAGATCCCAGGTATCAGCAGCTATGCCCATTGTGGTTTCCAAAGGTCCTAGTTCCTGAGGCACCTTTAGCGGGTCCAGTTGTAACTATAATTTCCACAGACGTGTCTACAGGGCTGTGACATCTGTCCTTGGATCTGCAGGCATCAGCAGATAATAGATGGTCCCCATGTAACTTGATTCAGTTTGTGTCCCAGGATAGCTATAGGGGCTTGGAGCGCTACAGCTTAAACTGATCCGTATCTCTGTACAACCGTAACTCCACTTGGCATTGAAGGTGATTGTGTTCTGTGGCATGTTATTGTGTCCACGGCAGACCACGCTGTCCTGTAAGTGTGTGTGTGGCTCACTCCTGGTGCTGTGTCTGTGAGTGGCTGTGACTTCCGTCATCTGTGTACACTGTTGCTTCCTCTGCCGATGGTCTGTGCTGTCCTATCTGCCTAGTCACCCATGTCTATGTTTGGCTTAAGGACATCCCCTCTCCCTATCCGTTCTCTCGATATGTTGGTTCTGGCCCACCAATTCTTCCTTATCTCCTGCAGAGGATCCCTCCCTCCCCCTGGGTTTTCCCAAGTGTTTGAATGCAATGCACACACGTCTGGGGAAACTGGGTGTATGTCTCTGTGTGTCCATAAGCTGGATGCCCCCGGAGCACCTGGACCTCAGGACATGTGTTCTCCTGGTAAAGGTCACTGCCGGTGCACCAGTGAGCATGTACCAGGGTCACCAGGGTCTCAGGCCACCTCCATCCCCCAGCCCCACTCCCTCTGGGTCTCACCCTGCCGCGGTAAAGCTCCTCCAAGCGACCGTCGATCCACTTCTCCACATCCAGCCGCCGCTGCAGCTCCCGCCGGTCGTACTTGACGGTGACTCGCGCGTGCCGCTTCTGCAGCCCACTGGGGCTGCCCCCCGGGCCGCGGGCCCGCGACGGGGACTGAAGCTTGCTCAGCACGCGCTTGCCCAGCCGCTGAGCTGCCATCGCCTGGCTGCCCGCTGTCCCCGCTTTGCGCCCTCCTATCGCTCAGAGCTCTTACGGGCCGGGGCGGGGCTGCCGGGGGCGGGGCTCGTGCTCTGGGACCCGCCCCGCTCCAGTCCAGGGCCTCAGTTTCCCTTCCTGCAGAGGCGAGCAGGCTTCAAGCCAGGATCCTGCGGGATGCAGATGGGAGGGAGGGGAGGAGGGAGCGGCACACTCAGCTCTGAGCGCTCCGGGGTGCACATCCCGGGGCGGGGTCCCGGGACACACTCTGGGGGCTGCTCCGTGCGCCCTCTGGAGGCAGCGAGCGGTACTGCAGGACTCCGCAGCTTCGCTCTAAGGGGTTGCCCAGCAGCTTCTCTTTAGCTAAGTCTGTCCTTGAACCCCTAAACCTCCTGCCTCTACTTTCTGCATGCTTCGATTCCAGACTCGAGCCGCCACACTCAACTCCTTTTCTTTTTTCTTTTTGTTTCCTAGATGCACCCTGGGAGCTCAGGAATGCTAATTAAGTGCTCCAGGGAATCCAAGCAGGGCCTAACCCTTGAACCATCATTATCTCAGTCATCGATTCACTCATCCATCCATCCATCCATCCATCCATCCATCCATCCATCCATCCATCCATCCATCCATGTTTTCACTTCCTCCGGCACATAGTATTTATTGAGTGACGCCAGCTGCCTGTAACCCTGGCACTTAGGAGGTGGAAGCAAGGGGTTCAGGAGTTCATGGGTTAATAGTCAGTTTCTGAGTTCCAGGACAGGCTGAGCTGCAGGCCCCGCCTTAAATCAAACAAACAAAGCCTGGAAGGGTGAGATGGCTCCACTAAGGGGCCTGGTGCTGTGCCTAAGGACCTGGTTCTGTCTCAACTCCTGCAAGTTATTCTCAGATCTGTATATGTGCCACAGCACCTGTGCACACACACACACACACACACGCGTGCGCGCGCGCACACGCGTGCACGCACACACACATGCGCACACACGCATACACGCATACACGCATACACACACCGCGCACATGCATTCACATATGCGAGCATGCACACACACAGGCACACACACGCACACACACACACCGTGCAACGCATTCACACAAGCGCGCGCACACACACGCATGCACAAGGCACTCACACAGGCACATACACACGCATGCACATGCACGCACGCATTCACACATGCATGTGCACGAGTGCACACACAGGCACGCATGCACGCACTCACACACGCACTCACACACACGTGGGCACGCATACACACGAACACATACACTCACACACGCACGCACGCACACGAACACACACAAATAATTTTTTGAAAGGCAGCATGATGAATCCCAGTTTCCGAATTGGGGTGGCAAAGACAGTACTTGAAAGGCTGAGGCAGGAGGATAGATGAGAGTCAAGGTAAGCCCTAGTTACACAGTGAGAATTATCTCAGAAATGGGGGTGGGGGGACACCGAGAGGTGGCTCAGCAGGGGAGAGCCCTGGCTGCTCTTGACCTGGGTTCAGTTCTCAGCATCCACATGGCGGCTCACACCCACCTGTAACTCTAGCTACAGGGGACCTGATGCCCTCTTCTGGTCTCTGAGCGCCAGGCACACGTGTGTGGTGCTCATGCATGTATGCAGGCAAAACACTCACCCACATAAAATAATCTTTAAAAAAAAAGATGATGTAGATATATCTGCTGTTCCTGATGCTTTTGGTATTTGTTCCTTTTCTTCTTTTGGTTTTCAGAGACAAGGTTTCTCTGTGGCTTTGGAGGCTGTCCTGGAACTAGCTCTTGTAGACCAGGCTGGTCTCGAACTCACAGAGATCCACGGTGGTATTAAAGGCATGGGCCGCCACCACCCAGCTTCTTATCCTTCAGTTGTGGAGGCCGACTTCTCACTGAGTCCCTTCTCTGCTGCCAGTTCCAAGGCTCTCATGATTTATTCCATTCCAGCCCCAAATGCATTGTCCAGTTTGCAGGGGTTTTTTGTTTTTTATTTTTTCTTTCCTTTCTCTCTTACTTGACAGGGTCTCATGAAGAACAGGCCGGTCTGAGTTTGCTATGTGTTGAGAATGAACTTGAATTCCTGGTCCTGGTCCTCCAGGTCCTGCCCCGAGTGCCGGGATTGCAGACATGTGCTGCTATGGTCGCTATTACGTGGTACGGGGGATCAAATTCAGGACTTCCTGCACTCTACCAACTAACCATATTCCACACAAGGTGGTGGTGTCTGCCTTTTGGTTTTGAAGGACTGGGGCTATTCCTTGTTGCTGAAGTTGGCTTTGGACTGTCCCAATCCTGTTTCGACCTCCATGATGGGAATACAGTCTTTCGCAACCAAGCCCACCTGGTTTAAAACACCAAGAACTCTTATTTTTCTTAAGTCCATTTATTTTTATTTGTGTGTGTCTCTATGTATGTGGGGTGTCATAGAGTGTGGAGGTCAGGACAACTTCAGGAAGTTCCACCGTGTGTACATCAGGAATAGAACTCAGATGGTCAGTTTGGTGGCAGGTGCTGGCCCAAGAGATTATTTTCTTTCTTCATCCTTTTTATTATTTTATTTATTTAGTTTTGGTCATTTCAGGACAGAGTTTCTCTGTGTAACAGTCCTGGCTGTCCTGGAACTTCCTCTGTCGACCAGGCTGGCCTCGAACTCACAGAGATCGGCCTGCCTCTGCCTCCCGAGTGCTGGGATTAAAGGCGTGCGCCACCTCCTCCTAAGAGCACGTTTTTTCAGGAATAATGTGATCATGTTAATTATCTTGGCGGTGATCTTCTACTCCTGCCAGTCCTGCGTCATTCATCCGGTTTATGTGGACACTCTTCCCGGAACCCACGCTGGTTCTGTTGTCGTGGTCCGTGTCTCCTCTGCCCCCACCCCCCTTGCCGTCGAGCTGCAAAGGGAGCCTGTGTGGGCGGGCTCCTATCAAAGTCTGGTTTTCACTGTCTCAACCCCTGCTCACTCAACCCTAGGATTTCCCCCATCGCATTCCTGATCACGGTTCCGCCTCTGACGACACACAGGCCAGTCTGGCGTGGCCACTGGAGTCCGGGACCTTTGGTCGTGGCTCAGCGATCGTCGAACTTAGGCAGGCTAAAGCCCTAACCCGTAGCGGAAGGCTAAAGCAAGGCGAGCAGAAAGCCTCGGTTTTCCCTAAACGGTGTGTCTCTCGTCCCAGTGCCCGAGCGAGAGCGAAGGCACCGCGGCGTCGCGCTCAGAACTCACGCGGAAGGTGGAGAGCGCTCCGCAGCATCACCCCTCCCGCCAGGGCCGGCCGGGGGCGGGGCAAGCGCGACCACGCCTCCTCCCTGAGCCGGGGGCGGTCCCAGGTGAAGGAGGGAGAGCGGCGGCTCAGGTGCCCGCCCTTCGCGCCTGCGCCGTGCCCGCCCCGCCTGGCCAGGTGCGCTCCACCCCCAGCCGGGCCGCCGCCTTCTCGAGCTTCCCGGCGGCCGCCATTCGCGACAGCGACCCCCGGACGTCAGGAGGTGTGGCGTCCCAGGTCCTGGGAGAGCCGCGGGACGTGTTGGGAACCGACTGAGACCACGTACGCGCCAAAAACCCGAAGGAAGGGGGCTGCCTAGGATCCGGACGCCTCGCGATCTCCCCCCGAGACACACACACTCCGGGCGCAGCCGCCCCGAGCTCGCGGGCCTCCAGTGCGCGTGCGCGGCCGTGGGCGTTCCACACCTGCTCGGGAGACCCCAACGGCCGGCGGCTCGAGGCCCGGCTCGGCGCGGGCGGCAGGTCATGGCGCAGCTGTGTGGGCCGCGGCGGGGCCGGGCGCTCCTCGCCCTGTTAGCTTCGCTGCTCCTCTCCGGGGCCGAGGCGGCCGGCAGAGACCTAGACATCCACGGTGAGGGCCCCGCGGGGATCCGGGAGGAAGGGGGGTGGAGGAGGCCGCAGCGGGGGGGGCGGTGCGCAAAGGAGGAATCGCAGGGTCCTTGGGGACCGAGAGGGTGTGCGGGGTGTGGGGGCCAGGACCTGCAGGTGGGAAGGAGGCTGGGGACGCCTCGGAGTGAACAGCGAGCGCGGAGGTGTAAGAGCGAGCCAAGTGTCCCCTGGGAAGGGAGCTGGGGGACCTTGATCCAGGAAGGCGTGGCGCTGGTCTCCTTCGGTGGCAGGAAGTGGGTGAGGAGCCCAACGAAGCGGAAACTGCATGGCCAAAGAAAGCCCTGGGCAGGGGCAGCCAGAAGCTGGGGGACTTGTTTGGCTGAGCGTGGGTGGGTACGGGGAAGACGCTCCTAGGACACCTGTTGTTGGGATGTGGGGCCACAGCCTTGCGGGTGATGTCCGAAGGGAGAAGGAGAGCAGTGGCGGCTGGGAGGAGCTTTGCCAGCCAGGGCCCGGGCACCTGAGACTGTTGATGCTGGCTCCTTCAAGTGTTGTTAGGGCTTGAGCAAGCACTAGCCGGCTTCGAAAGAATTCCTGGATTCGGTAGACTGTTGGCGTGCCCGTGAGGACGGCAGTGCTAGCCCTGGTGATGGGAGTTGACTCAGGCAAGACAGGGTCTCCCTTTCACAGAGCTTGGATTCCAGCCGGAGGGACCGAGAACAAACACTTAAGTGCAGAGAGCTTACCAGGGATTAAATGACCAAGTGGCAACAACCGGCAGGTGGGGGCAGGTGACAGATGAGGGGCACCTAGCGGGGAGGGTGTCTGAGGAGGGTGAGTCTGAATCCTAACAGGAAGAATGAGGAGGGGACAGCTGTGCCAAGACCTTGGGACCAGTGTCCTGTGGGAGGGTGGAGAGCAAAAGCCTTGGTAGTAAACTTGGTTGCGATCAAGGAAAAGACAGTCCCCAAGGCTGGAACCGAAGGGAGGAGGGGAAGAGGAGACAGAAGTGGACAGCATCCGCACGGCCCAAGGCCCTCTGGTCAGCCGGATGAAAGAGAAAGCAGGAAGCTTGGCAGGTAGGCTGTGCCTTATGGCGGCCTCTGAGAAATGGCATGTTCCTGGGTCTAAGCCTGGAAAAGAAGTTGGGAATGCCAAGGGCCAGTGAGGAGAGGCTCAGCTCTAGATGCAGAGTCAGGAACACAGCTGTTCTGTTGGTCATTGTAGCCTAAACCAGCCTCCAGCAGCCCTTCGGGGCTTTTGCAAATAAAGACATTATTGTCACCTTGTCCCTGGAGTTACCTGGCCTGTGACAACATCTGGTTATGGCTTCTGGCTTCTGCGTGTTCTCTAAGCCCAGAACCAACCTGATGTGGCGCTGCCACAGGCCTTTGGGAAGTTTCTCGGTGATAATTGATGAGGTTGTGCTCTGCTGAAGTGCTTGCCTGTTCGCTTTGGTCTGACTGCTGCCGCTGGCCAGACCTGCTGACCTTTCTGAAGTATGGCTTTCTGGCCGCGTGAACTACTGCCCTCACTTATCTCAAGTGCTGTTTGTCTGCAAGCTTCAACAGCGGCATCTGAGGCGGGAGGCGGTTTTGGTGTGTGTGTGTGTGTGTGTGTGTGTGTGTGTGTGTGTGTGTGTAAAATCATGTGCTCAGGTGAGGTGTTTCTCTGGCACATTTGGTTGCACAGTGCCAACAAAGGGACGTGAAGGGAGGAGGACAGGAGTGACTTTGAACAACTGTGCATGGAATTTTGTCTACACCGGAGGTTGAGGGGCAGCAGAAAGTGGTAGGTAGGGCCAACAGGTTGAGAGTTGGGAATCTGGAAGCAAAGACCTAGAAGACTAGATAGAAGGTGGTGAATGAACATAGGTGTTGAAGAGATGTAAATGTTAGTGTTAGACCGAGAGTGATGTGAGGACAGACAGACAGTCTGAGGCTCATTATCTGACTGGAAATCCTCCACAAGTGATAACAACCTGAGGCAGTGAACCCCAGGTGAGGATTATGGAGAAGAGAGGACCTGGGTCACCAGATGGCACAACCTTCTATTCTGATGACAGATGGCTTTGTTTTGTTTCTTTTTCTCCACAAGAGGTTAGAGGAGTGTGGAGGGAGAATGGTCTGGAAGCAGGGGTCTAGATTCTGGTTAGAGAAAGGTATCATGGCGGCTCATGGGGGTGGAGAGATGACTCAGTGTTCTTGCAGAGGATTAATCAGTTCAGTTCCCAGGAACCACATGATGGCTCACAACCATTTATAACCCCAGTTTCAAGGGACCTAATACCCTCTTTTGATTTCCTCAGTCATCGCGCGAGCGCGCGCGCGCGCACACACACACAGGTAAAACACTGATACATACAAAAACAATCTTAAATTTTTTAAATTAAATTTATTCTTTCTGTTTGTTTTTTGAATTAGGGTTACTCTTGAAACAGCCCTGGCTGTCCTGGAACTTTCTCTAGCCCAGGATGGCCTAGAACTCGAATCCACCTACCTCTTCTTCCCTCTGCCACCACAACCAACTGGATTAAAATTTTTTTAAAGGTTCAGAAAGGAGACTGACGAAATGAAAGGGTACTGGAGTTGGATGGAGGTAGGGACTGAGCAGGCTGTTGAGGGTTGTTGGCGGGTGTGGTTAATGTTTTATGGCCTGATATTGCCAGTGAGGGCAGTGGGAAGGGTGTGGCAGGGTCATTGGTGACTTAGGCAAGCGGGGGAAAGCTGATAATGTGCCTGGTGTTTCTCTCCAGCATTCAGGGACAATCTCAGTCTGCCATGGAGACGCAGGAGACCTTACAACTAAGATATTTTTTTTTTTTCGAGACAGGGTTTCCCTGTGGCTTTGGAGGCTGTCCTGGAACTCGCTCTGTAGACCAGTCTGGCCTCGAACTCAGAGATCCGCCTGCCTCTGCCTCCCGAGTGCTGGGATTAAAGGCGTGCGCCACCAACGTCCGGCTCAACTAAGATAATTGTGTGGTTTCCAAAGGTGGGAATTTCTAACGTTAAAATGTCTAATTGGGGGCATTGTCTGAAAATATGAAGATCTGATAGGTAGGACCTGAGCAAAATACAAGCCTGTTTCCACATAGCACTCATGGGCAAAGCCAAGAACTTTTGTGAGACAGGACACTTCAAGTCTCTGATACTTCTCTGGGCTACCTGCCTTCCCTGTATGTCTTGGGTTGTGGCCGTATATCAGGACTACACCACCTTTGATAAAGGAAGTAGTTTACACGCACGCACACACACACATTGATCTTGAGGAACATGCTACTTCCTAAAAGAGGAATGCTTTGCAAATACTTCACTATTTCAAGGGCTCTGAATTTTTTCTTTTTAGGGCTGAGGTTGAACTTACGGTCTCACCTGTGCCAGACAAGCACTTTGTATGCTTTTTACATTTATGTTATTTTGAAGCGGTGTCTTATATGGCCCAGACTGGCCTCACATACATGCTGAGGATGACCTTGAACCGATCGTCCTGCCTCCACTTTTCTAGTCTTGGGATTATAAGTATTTGTCATCATCCTGACTGCTTCTTTATTTTGAGACTGACTCCAAGTCGCCTAGGTTGGCCCTGAACTCCTTCTGTGGCCCAGGTAGGCCTTGTACTTGGGATCTTTTACCTCAGCCTCTTGAATAGCTGGGATGAAAAGCTTGTGCCACCTACCTTGCCTGAAATAACGTAATTTTGATCGTAATTACAAGGTCAGATAATACAATTTTTCCAAGTTGGAAGTTCCTTTAAGAGTCATCACTTAAGTTCAGTTCCTGCTGCCAGTAACTGTTAGCTGCAACTCGGGTATCAACTGTTAATGGTTCCTTGATCTGGCTTCTTTGTTGATGGTTCTTGGGAATTTCCATTGGAGCTGAGCCCAGCAATATTCATTCCAGAGCCTCCACTGACTTTGAAGCAAGCGTCAGTTTCCAGCCTCCTGGGTTAGTTACAGCTTCGCGACACCTAAACTGCAAGGCATGCTTTTCCACCAGTCCCGAAGCGTGCCATTAGTCCCTGGCTCTTCTCTCTCCTTGGTCACATGGGTGGTTATAACCCTGATGGTCAGCGTAGCAGCTTAGGAGCTCAAGTGCATCTGGACTTGGTATCAGCGGACACATTGAAGAGGGGGTTGTCCTGTTGTGGGCAAGGCTGCTTGAAATACATATTAATTTAGCCAACATATACTTAGTAAGCACCGACTTTACAAAGGATGAGTGTAAAGTCTATGTCACCTTTAGAACCTCAGGGTTAAAGCATTGTTTTGGGAGACTGAGGCAAGAGAATAACTTGAGACAAGCCCTGGGCAATATAGGGAGACCTCTCTCTCAAAAAAAGAAAAAAAACCCAGAACAAAACAGCCCAAGTCCAGGCATGGTAGAGACAGATCCAGAGTTCAAAGAGTACCAGGCTAGCCTAATAACACACATGAGTCTCAGTACTGAGACAGAGTGTTTTTAGCAAAACAACCCTGCGTGTCTTCTTGTCCAGTTTCTCCACTTTCATGAAAAAGAGTCAGTGCCAGAGCTGGGCGGTGGTGGCGCACACCTTTAATCCCAACACGCAGGAGCCAGCGGCAGGCAGATCTCTGTGAGTTTGAGACCAGCCTGGTCTACACAGCGAGTTCCAGGACAGCTCCAAAGCTACAGAGAAAGCATTTCTGGGAAAAAAAAAAAAAAGAGGTGTGATGATACTGATACAAGCCTGTAATACCATCCCAGAAAACTGAAGCAGAAAGGTCAGGGGTTTGAGTGCCTTTTCAAACAACCACAACAGAAAATGTTTTCTGGTGTTTTTTTCTTTTTGAGGGAAAAACACACCAGATGTCCAGACAATAGCTGAAGTCCAGGTTTCTTATTTCCCCATTTCCTCACTCTGCCCCCTAACTCCTTATTTGCACTATAACAGTGTCATGGTGCAGTCACTTAAGAAACCTGGATGGGGGTGCTTCCTAAGACTCTGTCCTGTTTGGCCCGAGGCTGTTTTGCCTTTATCTTTCCCTGCCAATCATCAAAGCAGAGT